CTTGAAGACATTCTGCTAAGGGAAAAAAAGCCAGACACAACGACCACATGTTGTATGATTCCATTTATATGCAATATCCAGAATAGGCAAATCTGTGGAGACAGAAAGTAGATTAGAGATTGCCTCGTTGCGGGGTGGGGGGAGATGAGAAAAGGGGGGAGTGACTGCTAATGAATGGGTCTGGGGTTTCTTTTTGGGATGTTGAAAATGTTTTAAAATTAGATTGTGGTGATGGTTGCACAATTCTGTGAATATACTGAAAGCCACCGAAGGGTTTAGTTGACTCTCAAACAACATGGGTTTAAACTGCGCGGGTCCTCTTACGTGCAGATATTTTTCAATAAATATGGTACAGTGCTATAAATGGATTTTCTTTTCCTTATGATTTTCTTAATAACATTTCCTTTTCTCTCACTTTATTGTAAGAATGCAGTATATAATACGTATAACATACAAAATGTGTTAATCTGTTCATGTTACACTAAGGCTTCTGGTCAACAGTAGGCTACTAGTAGTTAAGTCTTGGGGGAGTTAAAAGTGATACAAGGGGTTTTGACTGTGCAGAGTGGAGTGGTTGGTGCCCCTAATACCTGTGTCATTCAAGAGTCAATTGTACTTAAAGTGGGTGAAATTTAGGGTATATGAAATAAGTCTTAATCAAGTTGTAAAATATACCCCAGCATACCAAGTATAAATATTTATATTATTGGAAAGATAGTGACAGTTTTGTGTACTGATACTTTGATACATCCCTGCAGAATTTAGCACAACACAGTGGAAACAGTCCTGGACTATGCCATCAGGAGACCTAGATTCTTGCGCTGGTTCTACTGGTAGTGTGCTGCATGCGTGAGCCTAGGCAAGTTCCTAATGCCTGGACCTTGAGTTCTTTATGAAGTAAGGAAGTAACTTAGAGCTCTGAGCTGTCCTTCAGTTTATGTGTTTGTACAGTAAAGCATATAAATACTGGGGCAGTTTTGGAGCCCTGGCTTTATCCCTGACTGTTTGAGTATAACCAAAGTAGTGGGGTTTTCAGAAGCCACCTGGCTAACAGTCCTTCTCCCGATCATGTTCAGGTACGTCATGTCAGGTAAAGTATATGTAGAGCAGGGTTTTCAACCTCAGCATCTTTGGCATGTTAAGCTGGATAATTCTTCCCTTTGGAGGGATGTCTTGTCCATTGCAGGATTTTAGCAGCAACTCTGACATCTGCCCACTCGATAGCATCTCTTCCTCAGTCCTGACAATCAAAAGTGTCTCCAGTCTTTGCAACGTATCACCTGGAGAACAGAGTCGTCCCCCGTTGAAAACCCCTGGTATAGAAGATGCTAGAATAACAATATGAAAATAACTAAAAGGATATGCTGTCTACCTATGAAGAACTAATAAGTTAACATATAGGCAAAAAATATCATTTGGGGGTCTTTGATTTTTCAGATGATCAGGAGACAAATTCTTGCTCTTCTTGCTTTTCTATACAGACTAAAAATTTTACATAATTGTATTGGGTTGCATTATTTAATAAATACCACATGAAATATTTACACTGTGTTTCTAAAGATAAATTATTCAAATCTCCCAACACATTTTGGAACAGGTAAAATAGGAGATTAGAAGTTATCTGAAAGAGGAAATTTCTATGATGGGCATAGGGCTAAATTCTACTTAAAAGTATAGGTAAAAGTGAAATACTCATGCGTGTCTTTGACAAAGTGTATTTATAGTAGGGTATATAATTATCATATAATTATATGTAAATATAATTACATAATTATATTTATAATAGGCTATAGTAATTAATTTCATTACTTTTTCTACACTAAAATTGCCAGATAGTTACCTGTGTCTGCTTTAGAAACTAGAAACACCTCTGTGTAAGTTTTGCAATATGCTGTTCCTACTCAGCTGTGGAAAATGAAAACAAAGATTTTAATCAGGCTGTATTTTAATGCAATTGTTGGATGATTCTTTGCTCTGAGTGCTTATAGCTAGCCATTTTTATGCAGAACTGAAAATATGTTTTATGAGACCTGCTTTTGATTCAATATATTAGAAGGATTTTCAAGGCCTTTGAACCAAAATTATTAATTCATAATGGTTTTTCCTTGGTTGGCTACATTAACAGTATGTGTTGTTTTAGTAAGAGGGTACATGCAATGAAAACATTGTATTCTAATGCCTTAAATTACTGTCCTTGAAGAATAATCATAGTAAGCTGGGGTTACTTCAAAAATAATTCATTTTATTCATATCTTGAGTGAGGCCATGATAAAAGGAGAGGCACAAAATTGCCTTTCTTAACAGAACACCCACAGAGAAAGTCCAGGAGAGAATATTCCTTGCAAATTCTCTGAAAAGGTTACTACAAGGTAACATTGCTTTCCAAATCTGGACTATTGAAAAGTGAGAGTTGCTGAATGACAACAACCATCTCCTTGATCTTATGAATAAGCTCTTCTTTGCTTGCACAGGCCTCAGTGCACTCTCCAACCATGGAGTGGATGCCCCTAGCCCCATTAGAATTCTCCATTCCCCATTCTCATACACTTCAAAGGGAGATGTTAAAGGCATGGTCTATATGGTCTCTCTATGTCCTTGCTGAACTATATATGGAGAAACCGTTTCTACAGTTGTAAAGCATGCCTTCCCACATGAAACAAGATCACAGGAGTGGGATTGTCACTTGAATTCCACCCCTGCTAAATCTCCCCCATGAAAAACAAGAGGTTGACCGAACATCATCATTTGGACATTAAAGTGAAATTTCATTGGGAATCTAACCTGTGAGATGGGAAGATTTAGACTACAGTTTTAGGATTGCCTGTGGAACGGTGGTCTGGCTGCACGTGCCCAGTTAAACCACAGGCTGTGGAGTCAAGAGTCTAGGCATCCACACACAGTGCTTTTCTAAGGAGATGGAGACAAACCAAAACTAAACTGTACAGAGGCAATGGTACTACACAGGACAGCGATGGTGGCTTAGCGTGGTTGGCCTACCACAGCTGGGAGGGAGCAGTAAGAAGTCTCCTCCAGTTTTATCACATTTGTCGATATCATGGAATAGATGAAAGTATTTTTTTATTGTATCACCTAAGAAGAGAAATTGTTTTTTTTTAAGACTTTTAAAATTTATTTATTTGAGAGAGGAGAAAGAGAGCGCTTAAGCTGGGGAAGAGGCAGAGGGAGAGGGAGGAGCAGGCTCCCCACTAAGCAGGGAGCCTGATGCGGAACTTGATCCCAGGACCCTGGGATCGTGACCTGAGCCGAAGGCAGACGCTTAACGACTGAGCCACCCAGGCGTCCCTAAGAAGAGAAACTGTATGAAAAATAATAAGAGAGGGTAGATGATGGATCCATTAAAGTCCTCAAGAATAATATCCTTTCCAGTTTGAAGATCTATTTTTTTCTTAAAGGTATTTTCTAAATGTTTAGAAACTTCTGGTTGCTTTTGTTTTCAGTCTTTTTATAAGCAAGTATATCTTTGAATATTCTTTTTCCTCACTTCTGGCTTTTGTACTTGAACAGAGCAGTTGAATAGATCTAGGATATATATGCTAAGATGTGTATGAAGGCTCAGCTGCCAAAATACAGAATAAGGACTTACCTAGAAAGTTTATGGAGGCTTGTGGAGGAGTAAGTAAAGTCTGGAATCAGAAACAGAACTAGCAGAATAAAAACAACAACAACAACAACAACAACAAAAACAGCAACAACTGAAAGTCAACAGTGCTCCAGAAGGAGGTAGCAGGGGTGATAATGAACTCTATCAGAGGCTAGGAAATCAGAGCTCTGGGTGTCTGTAAAACTGCCTGTGTGATTCAGTCTTTTCTTACATACGTAACTGGGAGGTCTGATCCGCCAGGAATGTTTGACCCATGAATGTCCAGACCACATTCATCGGGTGTTTGTTCACCTAGTATTCTCTAGCCATATTGCAGGTGGAGCCTTTAGGTTAAGTGAGGAATAGGAGAGTACATAGCTGATTACAGTACCTTCTGATCCTCCTGTGCTATCAGAGATGGTGATTTGGAAGCTCCAGAGCCCTACCTCAGTTCAACCTGAATTAAATCCGGCAGTACATCCCTTACCCCATAATGAGGGACAGCCTGGCTCTGGCAGCAGATTTTCTTGGGTATAGATTCCAGATCCATTACTTAGTTGCCTCCTAATCCTGAGAAAGATATTTAACCTCTGTAAGTATCCAAGCTCTAGTGTAAGATCCTGTCCCTGCCCTGATCAAAACCCTCTAAGAGCTTCCCATCTCAAGTAGAATAAACTCTATCCTCCTTTTTCGGCTGACAAGATCCCTGGTGATCTGGCCCTTGCTTATGTCACTCTGATGTAGTCTCTTCGTTACCGCAATGCTAACTTGTCTTTGAGTTTACTTTTCGTCTGCTTCTCTCTACTATTTCCTCTGCATCGAACAGCAGAGACTGAGTCTATCTTATTCATTGCTGTAGCCACAGATCCTAGAACAGTGCCTGGTACAAGTAAGCACTCATAACTACTTGTTTATTCTATTGAGTGAATAAGTACATACCATGACATGCGAAGCACGTAGTACAGGGCCTGATAAGTGGTAAACCCACTGTGATTGTTTGTTGCTGCTGCTGCCATTATAATCTGTTTCTTATATTAGGCTTCCGCCTATGATTTCAATTAGCAATAATCGCGCCTTGGATAAAGCTCATTGGCTACCACTATGATCTCATTTGGAAAAAAGGTTGCTACCAAAAAGTACTTTTAAATGTCGTATACTGCAGTATAATTGACCTTTGAACAACGTGAGGCCAACGCCCTGCACAGTCGAAAATCCACATTTTTGACTTTTGACTCCGCCAGAATTTAACAACTAATAGCCTACTGTTGATCAGAAGCCTTACCTATAACATAGCCGATTAACATGTATTTGGTGTCTGTATTATATACTGCATTCTTACAATAAAGTAAGAAAAGTGGAAATATTGTTAAGAAAATCATAAGGAAAAGAAAACCCACTGATAGTCCTGGACTGTATTTACTGAAAAAAAAAATCCACATATTAAGTGGGCCCATGCAGTTCAAATCTGTGCTGTTCAAGGTCCTGCTGTATACATGTAAAAGAACATCATGTTGTGCACTTTAAATATATACAATTTTTATGTCAACGATCTCTCAGTAAAGCTGTTTAAAGAATTAGTACACTACTGAGAGAAATGTAATCCCATTTGAAAAAATAGTCTCCGTTCCAAATTCTTCATAGTAAAACGAGGGCAGATTTTAAAATACACTGCTTAATTCTGCTGGCTTGTGTGTAGATGAGCTTTTTGTCCACAACTGCAAAAGCAAGCAGGCCCAGAAGGGGAGGTCCATTCCCTGCACTTTTCAGTTTTACCTTAGGCCAAGTCGCCCTATCAAAGAGACAGGGAGAACTGAATTTAATCAACTCAAATAAGATTTACTTCCGTCCTTCTTAAAAAGGCAAAGCCAAAAACATGGTAACTAGTGAGAATGCTAACACTGCATTTTATTGCCGTTTCTATTCCAGGTGTTGCCACATCTGCAAACTTCCCGGACGAGTGATGGGCATTCGAGTGCTTCGTTTCTCTTTGGTGGTCATCCTTGTGCTGCTCCTCGTAGCCGGGGCTTTGACCACTTTACTTCCAAATATCAAGGAAGACAAGATGCTCACTTTGCGTAGGGAAATAAAATCTCAGGGCAAGTCCGCCCTGGATTCCTTTACTCTAATAATGCAGACATACAACAGAACAGATCTCTTACTGAGACTCTTAAATCATTATCAGGCTGTGCCGTATCTGCATAAAGTGATTGTGGTGTGGAACAACGTTGGGGAGAAGGGGCCAGACGAGTTATGGAACTCTCTAGGGCCTCACCCTGTCCCTGTGATCTTCAAACTCCAGACAACAAACAGGATGAGAAATCGACTCCAGGTCTTTCCCGAACTGGAAACCAATGGTGAGTTGCTGCCGGGGTCCCAGCTGGCACGGGCTGCCGCTCCCCAGAGCTCGGGTGGTGGGTGTGTGGCTTTCCCACCTTCTGCTTGTCTTACTGATGTGGAGAAAGCAGGGAGAGGGAATCAAAAAGAAACATAAGGGGCAATTTTCAAGATGTCAAGAAGCAGTTTTGTGGGGAAGAAATCACATACATCTTGCAACTGTGACAAAGAGGTCAATGTGAACGAAGATCCACTATAATTACACAGTATGGTATCACAGAAAGTAGTAAAATGGCATTTGGCTTACGCTTAATGTATTTTTTTTTTTTTGTCACCTTCCTTTTCCTCCCGTTCAGAGCAGTTTCATGAGCATTGTAATTTGCCTAGAAGACCATCAATTTTATTTATTTATAGGTTCATTAATTTCTAGGATAATGGATGAGAGCTGCATGACAATTTTCCCCTCAGGCAATTATACGTATCAATTACAATTCAAATAAACACTTTTTCTACCAGACAAATCTCTCCGAGAGTACATTTCTTGTTTACTAATTTTGTTCAGGAAATTATTCATTTGAATGATCTGGGCACCATTGTTTATTACTAGTTTTGTTTCCATTTCCAGACTGTTGGATATAATTCTTTTTCCTTTCGTTTCAGCGGTGTTAATGGTAGATGATGATACGCTAATTAGCGCCCAAGACCTTGTCTTTGCTTTCTCAGTTTGGCAGGTAATGTTGCTCTGTCCTTTATGAATTCATCAGTATAAAGTTTTATCTCTGATTTAGTTGGGCAGCGTCGTGGTTTAATGTGGGAGTCATCTCAAACACTGTAAACAGTATTTATCTAAGAGACATAGATACTTGTTGCATGGTAATCGACATGTCTTGTGTTCATTTAAGCCAGCCTGCAAGTTATGGTATCTTTTATCTATATTTGATTTCTATTTGATATGCTGGGGAGAAGAGCTAGAACTACCTTCCAGAGAAGAATGAGGAGATGATCTGGTATGGCAAAGACTAGAATCGAGAGATATTTTTCTACAAGGCCACAGATACATGTCTCAAATGAAAAGTGTATTTCTGTATTAATGTTGTATATAACTTTCTTTAAAAGAAAGCATTTATTACACCCACAAAATTTAATCCTAATGCTGGGACAACTTTTTAGGAATTAGGAATAGTAATATTTATAGTTTTATTTATTTATTTATTTATTTATTTGTTTGTTTGTTTGTTTATTTATTTTTTTTCTCCCCTAAATCCTAGCTGGAATAAACAGGCATAAATTGTTCACTATTCTATAAACACAATTCTTTGCTATTGAATATGTGTTAATTAATAGTAGCTGGCTTTTACAAGTTGCAGAAATCAGGACTGCACACCAGTATTCTGAAGCTGTGTCAAATAATGAAACACTGTGCTACCCAATAAATGGTCTAATTTGTACTATAGTAACCCTCCTTAATTAGCTACATGGGATATAAGAACATTAGATATTAATGGTAAGTGGTCACAGTACTCTGCAGGTATCAGCCTCTCAAAACTTCAGTTTCTAACTTTATACCAAGATCAACAAGTTTTTTTCCCCTACAGCAGTTTTTTCAGCCCTGTAAATAAAGCTTCTTAGGCAAAAAATTCTAATGTAATATTCCAGCTGTGAAATTTCTATTTCAGGTAAAAAAATCAATTTACCTAAAATGTCAGGGGTTGGGGGGGGATAGGAGAACTGTGCTTATTTAGAACAATCCAAGTAAGCCATAATTAAAAATGGATAAATATGATTTTTAGGTTTTATTCATAGAAGAATAACCAAGAACAGTTTCAATCCATTGCCCAAGGTAATTTGACTCCTACAGTTCAGTCCCATCAATGCCTGGCATAGTGTAATGATTTGGGGTATAGAGGCAGACAAGGCTGGAGTGGACATCTAGCGTGCTTTTGTGCTCACCTGTTACTGCTAATTAGTGCTATGACTTTTCCTCCTCTAGCCGTCTATGGAACTTCATTCATCCTCCTAAATGATGTCAATGGCACTTGCTCTCTGAAGCCCCCCAGGGTTTATCCTCGACTCCCTGCCCTTCCCCTTTGTCTCCCAGCAACAAATCTGTCACCCTGTCCTCAGTGCTTCCAAGAGGCTTACCCAACTGCACGTACAACCGTCTCACAGTATGGGAATTCCTTGTTCACATAGCTGAATCATACCCTTCCCAGATGATGACTTTTTTGAAATGGGATTTAACCCAGCCTGATTTGGATGTGTGTGTGGATGTGTATGTGTGTGTGTGTGTATGTGTCCCCAGTTTAATGTCTGTTCAGTAAATGAGTGAAACGCAAATTACTTACGAGATTGAACTAAACCTTTTAACTCTATAAATTCTTACTTCTTTTCTGTGCTTCACTGGTTTTCTCGTTTGCTGGGTTTTGTGTCATTTATAGTTGCTCTCATCTTACTTCTATGGTTTTACTACTATCCTTTCTTCAAAGATTCTGACAACATCTCATATATTTTTTACTCATGTTTTTAAAAAGGAAACACCCAAGCTGAGAAGGGGGAAAAATATAACATTGTTTAAAATCAACAGTGACTTTCAAGAACATCGAAATCAACATGAAAAAAACAGAATCATACATGTAGATCCACAATTTTATGTGCTCCTAAGAGATTGAAACAGATTTTCAAAATTATGCTATATCTTCTTATCTCCCGTAATAAATAGCATTCATACAGTCAGCTCCATTTGAAGCAAACTTTGAAGAACCAGACTCTTTGGTGACTAGATTTTATTAATATCAGAGAACATTTGAATTAGAACATTTGTAAGGGTAGAAATTTTGTTAGCAGTTTGGGTTGCGATAGAATTTTGACCTGCAAACGTATCAGGATGTAGATTTATGAAGTTGCCTGGAGTTAGATGAAATTGAGATGTGGAAGCCAAGAATAAAAGAAAGTTAATAAATCAGTTTAATTCTCTCTGTAATAAATCTTTGCCTTTTCACCATGTCTGCTCTCAAGAAATGCCACCCTTAATTGTTCCTTTTCCATCTTTTCAGCAATTTCCTGATCAAATTGTAGGATTTGTTCCTAGAAAGCATGTCTCTACTTCATCAGGGGTCTACAGTTACGGAGGTTTTGAACTGCAAACACCGGGGTTTGGAAATGGCGACCAGTACTCTATGGTGCTGATTGGAGCCTCATTCTTCAATAGCAAATACCTTGACCTGTTTCAGAGGCAACCTGCAGCTGTCCATGCTTTGATAGATGAAATCCAGAACTGTGATGATATTGCCATGAATTTTATCATTGCCAAGAACACCGGGAAGACTTCAGGGGTATTTGTGAAACCTGTAAACATGGGCAATTTAGAAAAAGAGTCCAACGGTGGCTATCCTGGAATGTGGCACCGAGCTGAGCACTTTCTGCAGAGGTCTTACTGTATAAATAAGCTTGTTAGTATCTACGATAGCATGCCCTTAAAATACTCCAACATCATGATTTCTCAGTTTGGTTTTCCCTATGCCAACCACAAAAGTAAAATATGAAACTAAAACAAAAACAAACCTCAAAACTGCTTAGTGTCTGAGTAGCTTCTCTTTGCTAGGGTTGGTGCTTTGTTGTTGTTGTTGTTGTTGTTGTTGTTGTTTTTTTAAGCAACATCACGAACTTTTATCCACTACAGAAGTCTCTACAAAGGAAAAAATGTACCATGATTCTAGACATAAAATTTACAGGAACTTCAAAAACCAAGAAGCTGGTACTCTCTAGATAGGTTTTTTTTTGCGAGGAATTTTCATACACGGATAGAACTCCTTGGTCAGTGATTTTATTGTTTACATTCTGAGACAGTTCTACAATTTCTTGGACTCCTGGCATTTGCCTTAAGGACCTATAGCAAGTTGTCTCCAGGATCAGAAACTCCAGAAAAGCATTTCTCAGCTTTTTCCCTAAAGGATGATTGTTTTCATTTGAAGCCTGAAATGCCTCATTAGCAAAAGCCTATGGCATAGAGAAAAGCCATGTGAGGGGAGAATAGTCTCAATCCCTTATAAAAACAAGTGGAAAACTCATGACTCTCAGTGCTTTCATTGTGGTCTTTCCAACCAGCCCTTTCCAGCACTAACTCGGCCTGGCATGGTTTTGATGCAACCATCAGTGCTTTGATTTTCGTTGATAAGTCTGTTGTGACTGGGAGAGTTCATTTTAGTAGCTGAAGGATGTCTAGTTGTTTGCTTGATTTTTGTGAATATTTACTGCATGGATCACAAAAAAGTGCAACTTGTGTTTCTTATGTGTAACTTCTATGCAGCAGGGAGCAAATGTGTTACTGGATTCAGGTAGTGCATTTTGTCCCTGAATCTGACCTTGAGAAGTGTATGTTAATTCTTATATTTTACATAAACTGTGTGTTGTTTAAGAAACATAACATAATCTTCTGAAATGATGATTAATTAGGAACTTGCGAAAGTTACAACCTTTGGTATGGAAAGACCTTTATTGTTAGGGCATAGGATTATCTCATGGATACTAAAGAGTTATGTGTATTATACACAAAGTTAATCTCTTGTATTCAGAGCTGCTGCTGCTTTTTTTTTTTTTTTTCAAAAAAGACCCAAGGCATTCATCATGATGATATTTTGATTACATACAAGAAAAAAATAACTGAATCATAGCAGAGGAATTTTATAGGGAGTCTGCATCGGTAAATTGTTAACCTGCTCACTCTGTTACGTGAATTAGTATCTGTGTTCCACATAGTGTCTGTGTTTGGTCCTTGTTTACAACAGTAGCAAGGAATACCTAATTAAGCTCCTGTCTACCACCTTCTCCTCTTCCTCTTCCCCCTCCTCCTCCCATAATGTCATTGTATTCTCACATTTGCAAAGCTGTGAAAATATTATAATAATCATGGTTAATGTTCCAACAACGAGGTCTATGTGCAGTTAGTTCAGTATATGTTGTTTCTTTACATTGGCATGTGTATGTGTCTTAATGCAGTCGGATAAAACCAGTAGAACCCAGAACCTCACTAAAAACCTGTAATGTTCATTATGTGCTTTGGCCAAACTTGGTAGTGATTTTTTGCCTCTTGGAATTCACCTGGCAGATAAATAAAATAAACTTCTACCATACAGATGTTCTCTTAATTAAGCAGACTCACGTTTTTGTGGTCCGTGTTTTTACAAATTTCTAAATATTCTAATATATTGCTCAGGGTAAAGCGGAGGCATTAGCTACATTCCCCGGGGAGGGGGGAGTTCTCCGTGGGAAAATATTCCCAGATTTTATTTCCCATTTTGTGTTCTCAAACTTGTCCTAAGCATCACATAAGTTAATCGTATCATGTTTTACAGACATTATAGAGCAAATATGATCACAAAGTGAAGTTCAGTCTGTGATACAGAGACCTTTGCATTGTGGCTGTGATTCTACTAAAACTGTTTTCCTCTGTACACCCCTTATTCTTGCTCCAAATGACTGGGAGAAGAGATGCTGCTCAGGTTTGAAACTGCATGAGGAAAGCAATGAACTTAGACGCTAGGTGTGCCAGGAGAGTATTTGGACTCAAATCCTTCCTAGATCTCACGTTTACTTAACTTCTTGGAGCATTGCTTTCCTCATCTGCAAAAATGGGAGTCCTATCTATCTACCTAGTGGTTTGCATTAAGAAATAGAAGAGCTGTTGGGGTGTGTTATTGCTAATAAGTGCAGTTAATTCTACAACTCAATACCTAGGTATTAGAAAGCCTCTGGGCCCACCAGGTGAGATATTCAAGAAATTATTCCTATGTAACAATGGGCAGAGAACCATGGCAATTTTCAGGTCTTTATTTCAAATGCCCCTTTTCTTATTCTTAAAACCCTACATATTCATTCTAGCAATTTTGGCTTATTCAGAACAGCGTAAAGGAGAAATGAAAAGCACACCACCACATTAACAATGGCTAAGCATATTTGTGTCTATTCCTCCTGACTTTCCGAAGCATATATTTTAATAGCATGATTTATTTGGTATTTCATTGGATAGGTAAACTATAATTTATATAATCAATCCTACTACCATTTTGTTTGATTTCTTACTATAAGGACAACATTTGGGTAAATGCCCTTGCCTTTGAGCACATCTATAATGATTCCTTTAAAGTAAGGCCAAGAACTTCAATACTTGGACCTATCCAGTAGTATGCATGTTTTTAGAGTTTTTGATACATATTGCTAGGTGTCTCCAGAAGCATTGCCAATGCTGCACTATTGGTATCACATCTGAGGGCACCTGCTTCCCATCAGACTTCCCAACACTGCATATTTAACGTTTTCTTTCCTTTTTCCATGTACAAAATTCACAAAGGATTTGGAAGGACTTGGCCATGTTAAGAACTCTGTTAAGGCTGAAAAACGGGAAGTCCAACTGTCAAATAAAAGATTCAAAGGCAGTATAAGCTTTAGGAAGCTTTTGAAGTACTTCTAGAAACTCTTTGTTCCCAGGCTTGAAGTATAGGCAATGAATTGCTGACCCTTTGCTTGTCCCAGCAATAAAAAAATTTCGGGGCGGGGGGGCGGTGGCTCAGGCGGTTAAGCATCCAACTCTTGGTTTCTGCTCAGGTCATGATCTCACGGGTGGTGGGATTGAGCCGTGTGTGGGGCTTCATGCTCAGCTCAGACTCTGCTTGGGATTCTTTCTTCTCTCCCTCTGCCCCGTCCCCCCCCACCAAATAAATAAATAAATCTTTTTTTAAGATTTATTTTTTAATTTATTTGACAAAGAGAGACAGTGAGAGAGGGAACAGAAGCAGGGGGAGTAGGAGAGGGAGAAGCAGGCTTCCCGCCGAGCAGGCAGCCGGGTGTGGGGCTCGATCCCAAAAGACCCTGGGATCATGACTTGAGCCGAAGGCAGATGCTTAACGACTGAGCCACCCAGGTGCCCCAAATAAATAAATCTTTAAAAAAAATGCTCACATTCGTTCCTCTTGGAAAGAACCAAGGCTTTGACCCAAAGGTGTGTGTGCCCGCTTCTATGTGGGCACTTACATGCTCAATGGATGCAGGGGAGGGCAGGAGGTAGAGGGACTCGGGAGGAGATGGAGTGGAGGATCAAGCTTTGATGGAGGAGGTTGGGGAGGTGCCAAATCTCACTGGCTGTTAGGGCTTCAGTGGTGAGATGTGATCATCCTTTACCCCATGCTATGTCATAAACCAGTGTTTATTGTCCTGTTAGGGATCTCCCAACTTTGCCCTCTCTCTCTCTACTCCCTTCCTCCTCACTTCCATGCCTCCTTTTCTTCTTTCATGGAGGTTCTCTCACTATAAAACCTGAAAATATACTTTCTGTAGATGAAATAAAAAGAACATTTGGTACATTGGAAACATGCACTGAGTCCTGGCTCCACTTAATTTCCTTCTCTGGAGAATGGGGATGAAAATGCCTGCCCGAAAATTTCCCTGGTTGCTTTTGGTTTCAAAGGGCATAATGTGTAGAGAGAACTTTGTAGCATCAGGAAAGCACACAATTTTTTTCAAAGCTATTACAGATAAAGAAAGAGCAGCTTGCCCAAGAATTAAAGAAACTTGGTCGTGAGTTAGTAGCTGTGTCAAAATTATACCTTGGAGCATAAAAAGAAGAAAGAATGAATATGCAAGTACTGAAAACAATTTAAGGAACCCACTTTATTAACTCTGGCTCAGAATGGAATATTCAGATGAAGTGTTTATCTAAACTAGAGATGACTCAAGGCTTCTTCTCTTTTTATATGTCAATATTTTATTTAAAAAGAAAATCAAATTCTTGATCAGAATATTTTAAGTAGTTTACAAAAGTAAACCTGAAGGAAACAGCTTTAATTTATAGCAGTGGTTCTTAACTTGGGCTGACTTTACCCCCAGGGTTCACACAACAAGGTCTGGACACATTTTGGTTATTACAATTGGGGACATGCTACTGGCTTGAGGATGCAGCAGCCCCCCAACACAAAGAATTAAGCACCCCAAAAAGTAGTGCAAGTTGAGGAAAAATGTGCTTGACATTGTATTATAGAATATTTGGTTGGTAATTTATCTATATAGCACATATTTTATCACAATGCAAGTTGCAATGTTAAAGTTTTATCCCATATAACGGTGCCTATTGGAACAGAAAACTAAAGGGGCAGGGAATGTACATATATTACTGATAAGACATCTGGTGCATAATTCTGTTACCCCAAATCTGATCAAAGAGCCAGAAATTTTTCTGGTTAAGGTTTATTCCTGCCTCTTTTTTCCCCCCAATCTGCATGTCTTTATTTTCACATCTGAAGAAATAGAGCTTTAGTTTCTGGGAAGGACCTATGGATAGATACCTATTTCTGAATCACTACTGAGCGATATTACATAATACAGTGTATATTTTAGTAACACATCTCTAGTTAAAGTCAGGATGATTGACTTAATGTAAGCTAAATATAAATTCTCAAATAATCATATTTGAGTGTTCAAGTATTTTTGGTTTAAGCAATAAACTTAATAGCTAGTGAAGACAATTTACATACGAAAGAATGCTGCAATGGGA